TCCTTCCTTCCTTCCTTCCTTCCTTCCTTCCTTCCTTCCTTCCTTCCCAACATAAAATAGCAATTAAGACAAAAACTTACCATTTGGGAACCCTTCCCCTACTGCCAATGAAACGGACTCAGTTTCCAGAGTGCCCTCTCCTATCTGTGCAGGATGACTTCCTGGATCCAGTTCTTTGGGGTTACCTGATAAGTCACCATGCAGGCAGAAGGACTACTGTCAACTTTTTTAGAGGAAGTAAAGTACGGCTGTATTGAAGGGGGACATGGGAATATAAAAGGAGCTGCTAAACACTGACAAATGAATGGACAATCAAGTCCAAGGATGTTGACTGAGTAGCAGCAGCTCCCTGACGCCTCAGAAATCTTTTCCAGACTTACAATCTAAGCTGGGACTGAACATTGAATTACATTCCCAAAATAAATCTATTATACCCTTTAGTATTGGGGTAGAATTGGTATGACTTTTACCAAGGTAGAGAAGCTAAGAGTATTCCAACTCTCACCCCACATCCCAGATGGCCACTTTTAGCTTTACTTTCCTCATCCATTCCCACATTTTACATTTTTCTACACTTATTATTTTGAAAATCCTCTGACATTCAAGTACATTTTATCAGATGAGTAGAATAAATACAGAAAATGAGGTGCAAGAGAGAATGGAATTGTGACAAAGGGCAGGATTGTTTTAAGGACTTAAAGACAAAACAGCAGTGTAATATCACCACATTATTTATTATCATGATCTAAGGAATGTTGTTTCTGTTTCTTCAGGGCTTTAAAACCATGTTACCTATTTTTATGACTACTTTTCACTTGCTTCTCTCCCAACTAAAAATACCTCATTCATGAGTATTTTATCTCATGAAGTGAATGAGACCCATGAAATTTTATGGGTAATAAAATTAGTTAATCTTTAAAGAGCTGGGCTGAGAAAGAGAAGGTGACCAAAGTCACTCAGCTGGTTTTTCATGCCTATGGAGGGACTAGAATTCACAGCCTCCTGGTTTTTAAGCTAACACTTTCACCACTACATCAGATGGGCTTTCATTTTATTTGAGATGTCAGTTTCCCATTTCTCTGGTTATTGTAATGTTGCTCTTGAAAGATTAAATAAATCAAAATATTTTTGGTAATATGGAGTCTGAGAACAATTATATATTTGTGTATTATTTAGTGCAGATGAAAGTTCACTTTTAAATATACATTTTGAAATTACCCCCAGATTTACAGCAAACTAGAATGTGGGTAAAAACTTATGGAAGAAATGTAACTCTAAACACATTTACATATCTTTTGCTCCTGAAGGAGTTATATGGTGTACGGCACATGAAATTATATATCTAGGACATTCATTCCTTAATAAATGTATCAATCAACTTTGTAATAAAATTTATAGTAAAAATATGAAGTGCCAGAAGTAATTTGGATGGTTTATGATGGTTTATTCTAACCTGCCTTGAATCTTGGAGGTGAACTCAAAATGTTACTGATAAAACAAAGCACAACTTGTTACTTTAATAAAGCCTTGATTGAATGAGAGATCCTTGAAATCATTTCACTATATAATAACTGGTATCACTAAAACAGCAGGGCTGTCAAACTCACGGCCTGTGGGCTGGATGCATCACATGCTGGCTACACCCACGCCCAGTTTAATGAAGGGGAAAAAGGTCACGATACATCCCATGATGATGCCATGATGACACGAGTTTGACACCCCTGCTCTAGAGTAACATTAATCTTTCTGGTGCCTCTCAAGTGGAGTCTGCAAAAACTGCCTTGGAGAAAAGGAGCATCAGGATGTTGCTGTTCTTGAAGAAAATCAGCTGTTTTACACCCAATTGTATGCTTTATTTGGGGAAGCTGAGATAACCTGTAATAGCTATAAACTGAAAAATCCAGCCAGGTTCATATATCAAACATAGCCATAGAGCTCCCAGAATGAGGAAATTTGGGCAGTAATTATATTATTGAAGACTAAGGCCCCTTTTTTAAAAACCACAATGCATTTTCCCACCTGTTCTAGCAGTCTGATAAGGTTTAAAAGTCTGGAATACATCAATAGCTGACAAAGGCTTCAAAACTGCCAAGATACAGAATATGGGTTGTAAACAATGGCTGGCTCACTTAAATTTTCCCGTCTTCATTGTCAGCTCCATCTATAAGCATAAAATGTGATCCGATTTATGCTGAAGTATAAACTCTATTGGAGTTCCAAGTAAAAGATAATGGTTTCTTTGAAGTTTATTAATCATGTTGTATTTTTTTTTAAAGTCTCCTACTGTGTTTTGCTCTTTCTTGTAGTTTCTCTATGTGGGGTTGAATTTTAAGCCCCCAACAAGCACTTCAAATAGCGCAAAGGCACATCTTGTAACAGGGACGCCATAGCCGTGTCCTTCACTGTATTTGTTATAATAAAAGATATTTTTTTTCTCAAAAAGGGAAGAAGTGACAAGCCAGATTTTATATGGTAACCATATTTTCCAGAGTTATTGTAAATCTAAATAACTCTAGCGCTTATCATACTAATCTCATCCTTATGGTGGGTGCAGGCACTTTGCTAACTGAAGTCATTCTGCACCAAGGACTCTGAGAAATGATGGCTCCTAGAACATAAATATTTACAATATAGCCACAGCAATAACATATTTTACATAGTAGGAAATGGCCCTAACTTGCCATTGAACTTTGATGAATTCAGGGATAAGGAATCTTTCTTTGCCATCTGAGCTAGAAATGCCTAGGAGTACATTGTGAGCTTATGGTAACCATGACCTGGTTCAAGATTCAAAGTCTACTGGTCCAAACTTTTCTCTTACATACTTACATACCTGCCCCCATTCACATTATACACCACCAGACAGTTCTCTCTTTACTCTTGCTATAGCAGTGAAAAAGGACCTGCTCCTTCAGTAACCAACTCTTCAAAGCACTTCAAATACCTTTACAGGCAGTTGCATTTATCCTTCTCCCTTTTCCCTAATGGGTAATTGGAGGCCTGGAAACCTCCATGTGGCACCTTGAATTGGTTGCTTCTGAGGGAAACAATTTGTTTTTCCCTTCCACCTCTTCTCTGAGATAGAAATTTAAGAATCTTGGGGGGTTCTTGCCTCCTTTCCATAGAAATAATTAAAACAGATAAATTACTTAAATTCAGGGCTAACATGTACAGGTAGTCCTCAACTTATGACCAGCCAATTAGCGACTGTTTGAAATTACAATGAACTCTGAAAAAGTTACTTATCCAGATTTGAACTTCCAACAGCCGCCACCCCCCTCCAATCACATGACTACATTTTGGGCATTTAGCAACCAGCCCTTATTTACAGCTGTTTGCAGCATCCTGTGATCACATGACCATGACTTACAGTGTTTTTGCCCAATAGCGAACAATGTGTTTGCTTAACGACTGCCATGTTTGCTTTGCTATCTCCATGTTTGATTAACAACTGCCACATAGAATGTTGTCAAATTGGGTTGGGGTTGTGATAGCCCGCTTAACAAGCAACACAACTTACAACTATAATTTCAAGATCAATTATGGTTGTAAATTGAGGACTACCAGTATGCCAATAAATGCTTTGATCTTTTCTAAAGGTTGCCTTTTCTTTCAATACTCAATTATCTTTGAAATAAATTCTGAAGTTCATTTTACAGTGCAAACTGTGCCTACAGGCTCAGCTTTACCCTACAGGCCAAGCCACACTTGATGATCCATCGTAGTCACCCACGCAACCATACCCACAGTTTCAAAGCTGAAAACAAGATTGTGGGTTGTTTTTTGTAAAAAAAAATGCACCTGATGCCATCTTCTTCTCTGAGAAGCATTTTTCTGGGGTTTCAGCTTGACAATGTTGCAGACTTGACCAAGTAGCCAGGAATACAGATTGGATAGAAGATGATTTTGACTCTGCACCTAGAAAATGCATGGAGCAAATGAGATACAAGTTAAACCAATATTGTTAATGCTAACTGGTGTATTTCGCTAGTCCAGAAACAGAGAGAAAGAAAGCAAAGAAATCAAGTCCTTGTTACAATGGATCTGATCTGCCTCTTTTGCAATTGTTGTCAGCTGAAAGTTCAGAAATGCAACTATAGTTATTTATTTTAGTTCAAACTGCCTAGAAATGGGGAACTAAATGGTTAAATAAGTGAACTGAAACTAATTCCACTGTTTGCATAAATTATGCTAATGTTCAGAATCTTATTTTTAAATAACAGCATCTTATGATATTTCCATAAGAACAGGATTGTGGAGCGCCCTGAGTATCAATTCACTCTTTGAGCATCAATACAGTGACAGAAACAGGGCAATGATACATTTTTTGCACTGATATCAGCCTAATGGATGATTCTGATTTCTCACACACTGGGTTACTTTACACTTCATCTGGAATAAGTCAGAACTAGGTGTGAGTGGGCAAAATAATCTGACCCTCTGGATTATTTCCATTGTATGTACAGATGTCCTTGTATTAAGCTTGATTCCATATAACTACACCTAAGCAGTTTTTCCCTGGCATTATAGAACTAATTTCCTACTGCCTTCTTCCAGCTGTTTTTTAAACTTCTTGAGCCAGTCAATATCTCTGGACTAGCCAGGTAATTCTCCAATATAAGGGCTAACTTTGCTTAATTTATGAAATTGTGAAAGTCAGTTAGGTGCTGCCAGTTGCATTCCCTTAATCCTTCATCTCTGGCCATATTGACTGTAGTTTATAAAAACTGCAGCCCAAAAGTTCTGGAAAATAACAGAATGGACTATCCATGATCTAATGCATGATGTGGGGGGGGGGGGAGTAGCATTCAAAATAATACAGAATTTCTGCATTTAATGTTTGAAGAAGTGGATTAGGTACCGTTAGGTACAAAGATGGTATTCAGCAGGTTCTGACCAGTTCTGGTCACCTCTGACTGGAGATTTTACAGTATCTTTCCCCTGCCATGCCCACCAAGCCACACCCACAGAACCGGTAGTAAAAATATTTAAATCCCACCACTGCTCTGTATGCCTGACAAAACATCCTTTTAAGTTCAGGAGCTACAGTGTTGTGTCTCCTGGCTGCATTGCTCAGATAGTAGCTTAATTTCAACCCACTGCTGAAAATTACAGCACTGCAAGCACGGGAAGGAACACCATCAGAGTATTCAGCTGCATTTCTCAGAAATTCAGATGTTGCAATCAAACTGCTGCAAACTAGACCACACAATGAAAAGCCAGTATAATTAATGATGACCATGCATTTGTGAACTTGTCATATTTACGTCATCCAATCCATTCTCATTGCTTTAAGTGAAATAAAGAAAGAAGTCACATAATTGTACTCATTAAGATTAATATCTCTTATTTCATGTTTCATGTTCTTCCCAACGCTGAAGCTATTAGATAAGCTTACCAAAACCAAATGTTTTATTATAATTTCATATGAATTGTTAATGAATTATTCATAGTAACAGCTACTATTAAAGCTAGAGTAAAAATCACCGCTCAGGATTTTCTCAGGCTAACGAGACAGGCTTTAGGTGGGGAAACAAGGAAGAGGAACTTGGAATTCTTTCCAATCCCTTGTAATAGCTTCACTCTGGATAACATGACTGGGAGTGAGAAGAGAAGAAGCTTAGCATTGACAAATCACTAATGTTCAGGCCCAATACTCAATTGCTTTTTCTATTGGTATGCATTAGGGATATGCTCTTCTCTGCAGCCCTAATGATCTTCCTTCCTTCCTTCCTTCCTTCCTTCCTTCCCTCCCTCCCTCCCTCCCTCCCTCCCTCCCTCCCCCACATCAAATTTGGTCCTATTTTGTTCTGATTTTGAAAAATTACTCTGGTGACAGAGAAAGTCCAGTACATCCATCCCTATTGTTGTTAACATTTTACTCTAGCTAGTCCTGCAGAAAGTTGAAAAGAAATGATGTAAAGGGATTTGGGGTTTCCTCTGTCAGCAGAAAAACAGCAGTATCATTATTGTGCTGCAGCTATAAAGATAGAAAAATCAGCTGCTATTTTATAAATCCATAAATCCCAGCATACATTCTGTGTAAAGCTGGAATGTCTCATTTTGAAAGGAATATTATTATAAAACTAGGGGAGAAGATGTAGAAAACCAAGAGAAAAGCATATTAAGCATGAATGAAAAGGGTAAGAGATTGCCCAAAAAGGCAGAAAAGCAATTGCATGTGCTTTGGTTCTGGGGCACTTTGTTGATACAAGGCAACAAATCCAATTTCCTCCACCCGTCCATCCTTAGTCACATAGGTATTAAATATACATACTGTAAAACTATCAAGTACTCCCTTTGAAGCATACAAGCAGGAAAGGTAGAAGTGAGAAATGCTACATATTTTCCATGAGGGAAGCCATAAGCCCCTGGCTTCACAGCCCTGAATTACAATATATTTCCTGTTTATGGCGTGTTTCCAGGCCCCTCAACCATTAATTGCTGATAGCGAGGCAGGAAACAATGGAGAACAGAGAAGCAGGTTAGATTTATTTATTTTTTCCTGCGGCATTGCCAGCTATTCATGAAGAGCTGTCACAAAAAGGCTTAAAGGCAAACAAGAAGAGGCAGAAAGTCCTAAGGCTTTGCTAAGGGTGGGGTTGGAGGCAGCTCACCTGTTGACCACATCGAACCTTTCCTCTGTAAAGGGAAACCAAAGCAGCAGCCCATGTGTCCACCAGCCCAACTGACCCTCCCCCCCCCACAAGTCCGCCGTCTCCCCTCTAGCAGACCCGGGACAAGACTAAAGCAGATCTCTGTGTCAGGTCTTTCAAAGGGTTCCGTTAGTTATGGCAAAGCCAGCCTCTCAGAACACAATGCATCTGTTGATGGGCCTTGTGAGGTGGGAGGTATAGCCGGGCCAGTCGCCCAACAGGCAGGGAATGCTCAGAATAACTCACCCATTTCAGTGGTCTGCTCCTCCCAGCACCACAAACACACACACATGCACATCTTTTCTGATTGTGTTTCAAATGCCAGGCAACACATTCTCAGCATTCTGAGCTTTTTGGTGGGTGGTAATGGGAAACTCAAAAGCTTTTTATACAGTTGATTTGGATTCCCCTTTGGAAACCTCATAACCTTTGAGTTGGCGCACGTTGCAAATCAGGCAAACGAGAACCGCTGTTTGCGCAAATCATGTCCATCGCTGCTCTCACTCATGATAATCTGATGACTTCTGGCAATTTAATTGGAAACAATGAAAAGATACAGCGCCATATCTAGCTTTTTCATAATGAAAGAGATATTCCTCTCTGTTATTCTGTACCAGGAAATCTTTTTAATATTCTGTTTTCTAAAAACAGAGCAACTTAATGTAAGCCACCATCCCGCACACGGCTAGCTAGAATAATAACCTTATACTTCCAAAGGTCAGCAATGTTTATATTAGGTTTGTTTTAGGTACTTTGCATATGTCTGAAATTGGGCAACGTACCTTCATATTTATGAATGAGAGTTTATAGAATGTAACCTATTGCTCTTCGCTAACCATCAGAAATATGATTCTGACCATCATTGGAAGTATGAGCTGAGGATCTTAGTCACAGGGGCAGAGGGGGAATATAGCCTTGTTCCAAAAAAAAGGGAGGGGGGAGGGAGGGAGGGGGGGAGGGAGAGGGAGAGGGAGGGAGGGAGGGAGGGAGGAAGACCCTCATAACTGGGACAATGAATTGAGAACCCATTCTTTATCAAAAGTTGAAATAAAAATATTTGCCTGTTTGTTTCCTTGCTCAAGATTGGGAAAACCACAACTAAGCTATTTGATAAAGGGGAGTGAAAAATAACCACACTAGTAAGAGATCTTCATTCTAAATGTATTTGCTGTAGACATTAAGTCTGGCACTAACCATAGCTAATTTATCCAAAGCTGTAGGTTGATGGAGGAAAATTGAAAAAAGGTAACGGATGGGATCAAAGAGAACAGAGACTTCTAAACAGTCTTTAGAAGTGCTGCAGAGAACGGAATCTGTGAGAACACCTTAGAATGGGACCACACACAACACTACAATGGATGTAGAAACAGGGTGCACAACACTGTGATTCTGTTTTTGTTAGTCTGATCTCATTTACCCTCCATCTCCCATGAATCATGCTGCTTGTCCAGCATATCATAGATTATACCTAAGTAAACTTGTCTTAATTCCACTAATGATGTAAAGAAAGGGCTAAAGTACTGAAAGCATCCCGGAATAATAAAGCTGCTGCAATGAATTTACCTGGAAGTAACTTCTGAACAGACATGCAGAATTGGACCATACAGGTTTTACTGAGATGTCTCTTAGCAATAGTAATAACACTTAGACTTATATGCCACTTTACAGTTCTTTACAGTCCTTTCTAAGTGGTTTACAGAGTCAGCCTATTGCCCCCAACAATTTGGGTCCTCATTTTACCCACCTCGGAAGGATGGAAGGCTGAGTCAACCTTGAGCTGGTGAGATTCGATCTGCCAAATTGCAGACAGCTGGCAATCAGCAGAAGTAGCCTGTAGTACTGCACTCTAACCATTGCGCCACCGAAGCTCTTCAACACTTCTTTGCAAAGAAGTGATTGATATGCCTGTTGGTAATTAATAGCTGCAGACTGGTTTTGATTTCTCTGTTTAGCTACTGAGGCCAATGTGTTGAATAATCTGAAGTGCTAGGCAAGGATTGGAGAGACTGACTAACTTCATAACTCAGGGTGGGTGGCCTTAAAGATAATTTAATAATCCCTCTGGTCTCACCTGCCTGCTTCAGATGGTTGTCTGAAAAGAAAAAAAAAGGCACACTTTATTTTTTGGAGGAAGAGGTAGGATTCAGTTGTAAGGAGGCTATTTAAAGAAGCTGGGTCTTTGTTGTTCATAATTTGTTATGCAATGAGTTCAGGCAAAAAGAAATAGCATTTTATGAGGATTTGTACAGGTTCAGGGGAACATTTGCCAAGGAAGATCCATGGATCTTGGAAGTAGCTGGCCAATGTAGCACATTGCAACCTTTAAAAAAATGCAACATTCCACCAGCCTGTGCCACTAACATAAGTTCTTCCAGATAAGTTTTTTTTTATTGCACAAATGTCCTGCTCCGTTTACAGAATTCTAGCAAGTATCCAGATGCTGCTGCCCAACATCTCTTTCCATTGCTTCTTCCATCATTTCAGACAGAACATAAAATGACTACAAAGCTATAAAATCACATGGTTGGGTGGAGATTATCTACCCAAAGGCCGTTATTTTACAGCGTTGTAGTTGTCTTATGAAAACTTTCCAATGAGAAGTCATTCATAATTTTCTCTTTATTTCTCAAGTCCTGGGATTCAGTGGAAATAGCATTGGGTGCTCTCAGCAGACCTCCTGAACCTGAGATCCCTCCCCTTGTGGACTTCCATCCCAACTTCTAGAAGCCATCCCAGCCCAATTGCGGGGCCTTTGCAACAAAATGGGCTGCCAAAATCCGGGTATTTGCAGTGGAGGTTTGGTGCCCATGACCAGGTTGGGAGCTCTAATCCTTAACCTTACAAGGGTTAGCTGAGGCCAGCACGTAAGGACTGAGCCAGGAATGCTTTGGCTTTGCTGCCGCCGCTGCGGTGACAGATAAGGCTGTCCCAGAAGGCGGACCTGGACCAACAACCCCACGATCAGGAAGGGACCCATTCTTTTCGAGAAACAACCGGGAGAACCAACTTCACTGACCTGGCCTTTCATCTGGAGACATTCACTTCGGGCTCCGACCCTCTGATGTCCTTTTCCCTCTTCCACCCGATGGTCGCGAGGTTCAAAGGGACTCCCGAGAGGAAGGAACTCCAAAACTTTCAGAGATCCGGACAAGCTTCCCCGCGCAAAAAAGGAGGCGGGCGCCCCTTCTCCGCTCCTCCTTCCCTGCCTGCCAACCTCGCTGGCTCGCCCGCAAAAGCCAAAGGAATGTCCTCTCCGAGGCTTATCTGTCAGGGAGCTCCGTTTCCCAGCAGCACCTTTGCGCGGTGAGGTCAGAGTTTCCCGGGAGCCAAACCCTTAAACAGCTCCCGTGGCGAAGCTTGTGTAGCCGGCGCGGCTTGCGCCCTTCCTGCGGCGCGTTCCGCTCCCTTAACGGCGAGATGCGAGGGGAAGCTTGGCAGAGGCCGCCGGAGAAACGGGCCATCGATTTGTTTACCGTCGGATTGCCAGCGGCTTGGATCGAGAGAAGAAGGGCCCGCCTGGTTTTTTGTTTTTTGTTTGCTAAAACTAGCTCTTCTGGTCTGGCCACCTGCGCAAGCCGACCCTTTCCAGTGTCCCTCTCTGCCCTTGAAATGAACGCGAGAAGTTTCGCCGCTAGTTAAACATCAACCGAAATGGCAGAGTTAAGAAGAAAGTACAGGGGGAGGGGGGGAGGTGTACCTGTCTTTGGTTTTGGTGTGTGTGTGTGTGTGAGAGAGAGAGAGAGAGAGAGAGACAGACAGACAGACAGACAGACAGACAGATACAGAGAGCTCAAGGGAGCCTTGCAGCTAAAAGAATAGGCCTTTGCATACACAGGCATATTTGAAATATTATGCCTCCTCACTTGCTATTGTGGTAACATCGATGCTACAAGCTACACTTAGACAAAGAAACGTATTAGGCATTTTCAAATAATATTTCCTGCTTTACAAAACCTGATGGAATCACTGTAAATTACCGCTATTCCTTTCTGTTGTCTTCTGTTTTGGCCCTCACAATACCCTTGCAAGGCAGAATAAGCTCAAATAGTGCCTGGTACACTCTTTCTTTAGGGATATTTATTTTTCAGCCACTTTGGCCTAATGGTTAAAGCACCAGACTAAAAATTTCTACTCCTGCCTTAGGCCTAAAAGCCATCTGGGTGACTTTGGGCCAGTCATCAGTAGAAAAAATAGGAAGAAGTATTAGGTGTGTTCTCCTTGACCAATTTACCAAAATGATAAAGGCAGGATTAAAAAGAACAAAGCCTACCTCCCCCCCCCCCTCAACTTTCCAGGTATGGAATTTCCTGGAGATCTCCAGCCCAAGGGTTAAATAGATTTGACCCAGCTTATCATTCTGGGATCAGACAAAACCATCCCAAACAATATGATTCTCCCTGACTTTGGTCCCCTTTTCTTTTACTCTAAAATCTGTTTTATCAGTGCTGTGAATCTAATCATTATAATTACAAAGCAGCCAAATGCCCTTCCGATATGTACAAGTTGCAAGCAATACTCACTTTATAAGCGGAATAGTCCCACCATAAGAAATCTTCAGGTGCAAAGCAATATAGGCAACCCAGAGCATTTTCTGCTTTCCAGAATGTGCAATAATATAATAGCAGTAGAACTGTGGCAAGCCTAGGTGTTTGTCTATGGCTCACCTACCATTTTGACCTTTGGCAGATAATACTTACAAGAGGAATGCAAAGAATGCAGCGGCAAAGGCATTGCACGCCTGTCCTGTAGCTGTCAGTAAGTTGGTATTTTGGCTGCTCAGAAAAGTGAATAGGGGAGGGAGAGGAAATAGGACAATTATTCCTTGATTGTTTAAAGGGGAAAGGGATTTCCTTAGGAAGCCAGGACACAAGAAAATGTGGTGTTTTTGAGGAGAAGGCATCTTGCTGAACTGGATAAAGATTGCTGGGATAGTTTACAGGCTTAACACATTGTGGGAATCCATATTCCAACTTGTTTGAAGTGCGCACAGTTTGCTTCATTGACTATCACAATACTGGTGTGTGTGGTGTGTGTGTACAGAATTATGTTTGCTTGCAAGGCTACTGTTAAAGGCAAGCACACATATAATCCTATCATTTCTTGCAGGAGCATGCATACAAAATTAAATTTGCCGCCCTCTTCTTTTCAATTTGTCCTGAAGAGTAGGATTGATTCTGCTGTTTTCCTTTTGAATCTTTAAATAAAATTATATAAAAACATAGACATGCAAGCTTAAACCTCCTGGGGAAACAGAGTAAAAGAGGCACTGCAAAGATTAGCCTACTGGTGCTTCACTGAAGGGCCTGTAAATACAATCCTGCATAAGCAAGCAATTTTTCTGCCTCTACTATTCTCCCTTTTTTCTCCAAAGACTCATTAGAGATATAAAGGAGAGAGAGAGAGAGAGAGAGAGAGAGAAGAAAGAAAGAAAGAAAAAGAAAGAAGAAAAAGAAAGAAAGAAAGAAAGAAAGAAAGAAAGAAAGAAAGAAAGAAA